CGGCGTAATCATGTAATTTTCTTACCACTAGATGGCAGTAGGTACAGAGCATTTTACATTAAAACAAGAGAATTAGTGATGCATGAACGTTGCAGGTAGTGGTGAGAGCATCGTATCTAGCAAGACTGTAACGACAGTGATGGAAAAGACAGTGAAGCTCAGCAGTAGTTGGAAAGAACATGGGTCCATTTCCCACATGTCTGTGTGAAGTGAGCTTCTCAAGCCTGGTTACTATAAAAACTGAAACCAGAGAGAGACTGAGAGCTGCTGAGGAAGAGCTTTGTCTGTCTTCAATTTCTGCCAGGAAATCAGCTGTTTTCATCCAAATATGCACAGGTTTCACACTAGATCGGTAAAATAGACAGATATTGACATTTTGTACATGCAAATCTTCATATCGTAACAGTGAAATGTTTCCCAAATATTATTGCTTCTTTCAGAATAAGAATTATTTTCTGTATTCTGGCTAAAAGAATGCTTGTGGATTAGTTTGTAAAACACTTTGACGTTTTCTACAACTTCTTTAAATTTAACACCACAGTGTTGTGGCTGTTCAGGTGTTCAGGTGTATTTTTGAAGTGGAAATGTTACGTGCAATTTGAAATAAGAAATGTAAAATGTGATAAAAATACATTTTTGTGTTTATTTGATTCCTATTCAAGACACTTTGATAAGAATGACTATATATGTAATATAGGCGACTACAGAGTATCTTTGTTTACATTTTTGGTTGGTGGTGTGCCTCGAGATGTTTACAATTAAAACAAAGTACCTTGGCTCAGAAAAGGTTGAAAAACACTGATATAGATTAACTATTAGGAGTGTGATTGTTCGATCACAATAATTTTACAAAGTTGTATAATGACTATTAATACAACCTGGAATAAATTCAGATGAGAGCTACCAGCTCTACATCGACGTCTCCTGTTGCTCAACTCATTTCTCCTGTTAAAACAGGTGATTCTTATCCGCCCACCTGTCCCTTCACCTGGGACCTGCAACATTCATGCTCTTATTTTGAAGTGGGTGAGGCCTGTTTACGCGGCAGTTCTGTTTCCTCCCATGTTTTATTTTTATCCAATAACTTATAAGAAACATACAGGAACAGAATAAAACAAAGATAGCAGAGAACAAGACATAAATACGACATCTAAGGGTGTTATAAAAAAGAAACCTCTAATGTAAGTTGGTGCTTGACGGTTGTAGTCTTTCAAGGGCAAATATAATCCCTTTGGGATTGATAAAGTATAATTGATTGATTAATATAAACTTGTTTTAATGGCTTTATGTGGAGTCCTATATATAGTTCAAAATAAAAAAATAATCTGAAAATTGGTTTTATGTTGCAGGTTTTTGTATATATTTACCGTAAATGAAGAAGTTAACACATCAAAGTTCTGTGTCACTGAAGTCCCATTCTTCTGTTCCAAGCAAAGCATTTTCATCATTTAATGTAATTTTCAAAACTTTTCCATGAAAAACGTTTGTCATATCTTCCAGAATGGTTGAAGTTAGCACTGTAATGTTAGCTTCCCCTAGCGTTAGCAGGATTAATGTTTATGATTAGTGCTTTAGGGTTATCATGGCTAATGTTTTAGCTAGCAGGGCCCACCACTGATGAAGCGATTTGGCCTTTTAATGGCGGTTGTAGCTGAAACATGGCGGTTAGACGCTCCACAGTTTCTGCTCAGTAAACACAAATGAACTTCACTGAACCTCTTCCTGTTTTTGGTCTCACTGAACATTAATCTGATACTGAAACGCTTTGGTGTCGATAAAGGTTTCAATAAGGACCAGCAGACACAGAAACATTAGAAAAACATCACATCTTTATTATATTGATAGTTATTAATATTTGAAGCATTTTCATGCTGATGAGAGGAAGATACAGTCTGAAAACGCAACAATCAGAAAATACTGAGGGAGGTTACAGACAGAGAGCATGCAGTGAGTTTATCCAACTGGTCCGACCCACTGGAACCGAACACACGACCGATAAAATACCAAAACAAAAGGTACACTTAGTGAAGTTATCAAAATATAGGCTATAAACTGTAGATCATTAAGACTCAATGAAACAACCAGAGCCGAGTTAGTTCCTGTAAGGGTGACAGAACCAGAACAGAACCAGAGGTTCTGACCGTTCTAGCTTTACTTTCCTGCTGTTTCAGTTTCAATATTTACAGAGATGTTGAAACTGAATCCATCACTGGAAGGTTTTTATAGCATCAGAGACCAATGAACCTGTTGGATGTTAATGAAGAAATTCTGTTTGAAAATGTTGAAACAAGCATTTTTAAAACTGGACAGCAAGGAAGTGAAGTTAACAGGTGGTAGTTACAGAACCGAACCGGTCAGAACCATTCAGGACCAGTCAGAACCGGTTTGAACCAGTCAGAACTGGTTATAAGCTGCAAATAAACAGTTATGGAAAGAATTCAGGCTAAATGGGGATTATAGTGACACCTGGTGGCCAAACCAGGAAAAGTCCACGTTTACAAAGTTGACAGTGAAGTGGCTTCACTGCAACACATTGACCGAACTGTAACTCCACGTTTACTGTACAAAGACAAACTTCCACCATCACTGTGGCCCACAAACGGCGATGCTTAGCTGAGACGACAGATTTAGCAGATCCAGAGTCTGTGGAGCGCTTGCTTTTACACCGCTAGCAACAAACGCTGCACTCTGGAGAAACATCTCATTTGGGTGGAATAGAAACAGGAAAAATCTGCACTGTACTTCAGGTACCAAAGGTCTCATGAGGATCAAAAGAACGAAGGAAAAGCAGTGAGTCGTCTGCATACGGTGAGATCTGAGACCAGAGCTTCAGTTATGCAGGAAAAAGTCTGAGGCCAAATGTTCGAGGAGTTTTGGTGGAATAAAAACTGATGGTTTGTGTGCAGCTGCTCTTTGCAGTCATCAACCCAAAGCTGATATTTATCCAGTCGGCACCGTTTCACTGCCCGTTTTCTCATTTTGAGTTAAATCCTGCAGTTGATCCATGTTGAAGGTTCCTGGTGGCAGAAGCCTGATCATTTTCAGTTCAGACATGATTATATAATTAAATTAGCTTCATGAGCCACTAAGGAAATTAAAGGAATGGGGGGATTAGATGAACCAGAACTAAAATGAAGCATTTCATTAAGAACCGTCTGGTATTTACTGAGGCATGATATGAATATCTTATTATAAAGCCGCATAATTTTAATTTTGCCAAACATTCTGAAATATAAAAACAAACATAAATAATAGGTTTGTGTAAAAAGTTGCTGATGGATCAAACTCTTCATTTCGTTTTTCATTCTGACCGTCTTTAAGATTCTAAAATAATTTTGATTATGAAATGATTTTCTACTGTTCAGCTGCTGTGTGTGAAACTTGTTGGTTTGTTGGGGATTTAGCTGAATTTAACTGTAAAATCTAAACGCTGAGGTAAAACGGAGCAGTGCAGATGATCAACCCTGTTTCCTGGTTAAACACGGAGGACATTAGAGGAACACATGGTGGGTAAACAAAGTTCTGGATCTCACCCAATCAGCAGCCGGCTGGGTCTGACATCATCACTGCATAAAGGAAACCCGTCCAGAGTCAAGTTCTGGTTCTGAACTGTCGGATCAAAGCGATCCTCCCAGCTGATTGCAGCGAAACAGAACCATGAGGCGGAAACAGACACTAACTGTTCCAGACCACTAGGTGGCGCCAGAGAGGCAGGGCGGATTTCAGAGCATTAGCTTGGACTCGGTTAATCAGATACAAGGCACTATAGATTTTGCTATAGAACGGCTAAACCAGGAGAAGAAGAAGACAGAGGGCGGGGCTTCACCACCAGGAGTTCAGGGACGGAACGATGGAGAGAACGTAGCGATCGGTGCGGTGGTTAGGACTGCATCTCAGCGCGGAGCATCCATGGAAACCAGCAGCAGAACAGCAACCTGCAGCGGAGAGAGGAGAGGTTCTAGTTCATCCATCCGGGTTCTATGGTTCTGACAGAACCTGGTTCCATAAACGCATCGCTTCAAAACCACTTCCATCTCAAATTAAAGCTGTCAGGAGTCCGTCTGCACCAAACAGCTGGATCCGATCAAACCGTAACGGTTCTGAGACGATAAGCTGCTGACCCAGAAATGACCTTTGACCCATGTTGGTCAGAGTACTTCTCACCTGGATATGGAGCTCTCGGAGGTCAGATCTTTAGGAGATCGCATGGTGTGGAAGTTCCTTTTCGGCTGTGACACTGCAGGGAAACAAACGGGTCAGGTTCTGTTCGCCTGAGTCAGACCAGAACTTTTCTGTTTCTAGCGATCTGAGCAGAACTTACTGGAGACTTGATGAACCTTCTTCACCATGGAGCCGTCATTCTGGGAGCCTTCTTTAGGTCCTCCGATCCTGAACAACCAACAACGACTCAAACCGTCACTTTCACGCTCCAGAACCAGGCCTGCCTTATTACAACCAGCAACACCGGGTTCTGTCAGGCAGTCCTACCTCTGGACCCGGGAGGGCGGAGCAAACACTCCATATTTGGGCAGGCAGCTGAAGTATCGGACCCCGAACACCGAGCCATCGTGTTTCCCAGTGGGCTGGTCCAACTCTACACCAAACCAGAACCCTGAGGGGCACCAGAGAGACCGGGTCAGACCAGAACATCGCCTCCTCTTTGCTTCATCTGGACCTCTGTTTCAATGTGCTGGTTGGTTCAGACTACAGAACTGACCTGGAGCAAAATCCGTCTTCCCGTAGAAGCGAACGATGCCGAGTTTCTGACCCGCCACCAGAACCTGGTCCCCCACCTCCACGTTTGTCCCCTCCGGGTCCAGACTAGCCACGGACGTCTTCTTCTTTTGGGCTGAGAACAAACCAACCAGCTCAGTCAGCTCTCCACCAGAACCAGAACCCAGTCAGACCTGATGGTCCCTCACCTTTCTCCTTCTCCTTCTTCTCCTTCTTGGTCTTCCCAGCCAGGCGGGAGGCCAGGTCCATGCGGGGGGTTCTAGGGGTGGAGGTGACCGAGGACGGAGTTGGATCCACAGCTTTGGAAATCTTTGAAACTGGAGCAAAAATACCTGGAGGTCCAAACAGATTAAAACATGAAGAGTGCTGGTCCATTAGAACCAGAACCGGGTCCAGGAAGCTCACCGCTTACCAAGCTTCGGAGGACAGATGAAGTAGCGGACTCCACCCACGCTGCCGTCGTTCTTCCCCTCTGGCTCGTCCAGCTCCACCCCGACCCACTGACCGCTGGCAAACTCCGTGGTTCCACAGAACCGCAGGGTTCCGGTCTGAGGTGGAGACAAAAGGGTTCTGGAATGAGTGAACCTCAATGTGGCTGATGGAGGAGGAAATAAGGAACCAGAGGAACCAGTGTGGGACTACCTTCAGGTCGTCCAGAACCACACGGTCACCCAGCTTCAGCCCCAGCGCCGCCAGCATCAGGTTTCCAGGGATGTTGTCGTAGTTGGGCAGCGTGGCCCTGGGGAGGTTACAGCTGAGCGGCACGGCATCCAGCAGCAGCTGCTTTAGGTCTTTGGCCACCATGGCCGCCTCGGCTTTGTCCAGGCTCATGTCCATCGGGTCCGGAACCACCTCAGCTGGAACCTGGCCCTTATCGTTCTGCAGAAACAAACCTACGGTCTGAGCTGCAGCTCTGCAGGAAGCTGTTGCTCATCAAGCACGGGAAGGTGAGGCAGTGTTTACCCTGACGGTGGGGTTGGCTCCGTGCTCCAGCAGACATTTCACTGCACTCAGGCAGAGGTTGGAGGCAGCGATGTGGAGAGCCGTGCCGTAGTGGAAGTCACTGCATGTGGAGTTCAGCACTGAAGACAGAAGAAGAAGAAGCTGACCTCGTCTCCTGGACTCTGTGGGTGAGTAATAATCTCGTGGGACGGCTCACACTCACCTCTGGGTTTGGCGGCTTTGAGCAGGACTCGGATCAGCTCTGGGACGTCAAAGTAGGCAGCGTAGTGCAGCGCGTTCATGTTGGTCCACCGGCTCCGCAGACTGACATCGGCGCCCAACAACATCAGCTGACTGGTGAGCCGCAGTGCCGCCGCCGGGTCGCCTGGACACAGGGAGGTCCAAACTGAAAGCTGCTCTGGTGGAGGACTGCCACCACCTGGGGGGAGCTTTTACTCACCCTACTGCACAAACATGGTCCTAACATCGGATTGGAAATTCAATCATGGAAGAAAAACCTAGCACCTGTGTCTGGTTTGCTTCATCATCATATTATCTACTCTGAGGACTTGGATCTGTTTCTGATCTTCTGTGACTTGAGGTGAGGATCAGACCTGAAACACCCGATCCTCCTGAGACTCCTAACTCCTCTCCTCTAGCCTCCAGGAACCAGTGGTGATCATTCTGGGTCTCTACCAGCAGTCCTTTCATGACCACAGAAGAAAAACGATGAAGGTTGAAGAGTTACTCACCGACTCCATGAGCTCCGGCCTTACAGCTGTAGTGAAGCAGCGTCATGTCGGTCAAACCGTCTCGGTCATTCACATGGCAACCGCGCTTCAGGATCTGGGAGACACAAACACTGAGTTAGTCACGTCCTGCTGACTGGGAGGACACCTGAAGACACCTGACATTCACAATAACTGAAACTAGGAAAGATCAGTCGTCTGTCCGTATTCCAAGGTGTTCCCAGATGAGCTCCACAGTCCCTCCAGGAAGGTCTTGCCAGTGTCCATCCTGACCCTAACTGACTCCCATCGAGGTGGAGAAGCAGCAGCTCCTGAGCTCCTTCCACCAGGGAGCAACAGGTGAACTTCATCGCCACCATGGGTGAAACCCAAAACACAGCGGCGGCGTAAGTCGCCCTCTCGAGTTGCTTGTCTCCAAGAAATTTACTTGGTTATGAAATTGGCAGGAATTTTGACATTTTCAATGCAGACGGATGAGGCACGAAGGATGAAGAGTCAGGAGATTTTTGTGGAATTAACTGAAATCTTGCTATCAACTCAAATCTACAAAAGATTGTCAGACTACAAAAGTCCTGCTGAGTCATGGTTGGGTCTGGTGAGGCCCAGCTGCTCTGCAGTTCCCTCAGAACGTGGCCTGCCTGCAGCCATTTTGTCTGGCTGCTCTCTGGGTTCTGCTGATGAGATCCTTCATGATCTTATCATTTTAAAGAAAAGTTTTTACACCTTCCATTTCTGCTCTAACAGCCTATTCAGACAAAAAGCACCAAAATCAGAGCATGTCAGTTCTGATTGGAGAAGTGAGGACGTTCTGGTTTCTACTCCGAATCCAGGACTGCTTAATTCACAAATTCACTTCTAGATGTTATTTCATTTTACTTTATTTTATTACAGTGAACTAAAGACGAATGGTGTTTCAGTCTTATACCTGCCATGCTAAACTGAGCTGGCTCCAGCTTAACTCCTGCGGTTCTGACCGTTTGTCCTCACCTCGTTTCCGATGACGTCGATCTTGTGCTGCACCTGCGGGACCCACTGGCGGACGATGGCGAACAGCTCGGGGATGGAGGTCCGCGGGTCGGCCAGGATCTCCTGACACGCCGGGTCGTTTGGGTCAAAGAAGGTGAAGGCTGCAGAGTTAACAGAGTTAGGGAGGAGACAGGATCAGAACCGCTAGAGCCTCTGAAAGAGTCTGTATCATTGAGCCTAAGGAGGTCTGCTCCAGTTGGAGCTCCTGGCGGTGGATCAGGATGGTCTGAAGCTGCAGGTTCATCTGCTGCTTCGCTCTTCCTGCTTCACACTAAGGACCAGAGGAGCAACTAGAGCGTAAAGCTTCACATAGCCCTCGTTGAGGTGACTGCTGTCTCACTAGCTGTTAGCCTGTTGCTAACAGAAGCAGCTCCAGCTCCTCTTCTGTCTTTTGTTTGGAACAATTTTGGTTTTCCTGAAGGAACGTTAAAGGTGACCTAGTGACGGACGATAGGTAAGAAGTTCAGAAAGAATTGTTAAAATGGCCGATGGTGGGAAGTGTATTTGCACATTGGGCTGCTTCACATTCACGGCGTACACTATCAATATTACCTGTGAAACGGGAAGCCTGGTTTATGGTTCACGCATTAAGCTGGATGGAAGGATGTTAGGATGGATGTTAGGGGCTCTTGCAGAGCACGTTCATCTGTACCAGTATTTACCCGATCACTCTCATTTTCAGACAGTACTGTGCCAACATCAATTATGAAAGTGCAAACGTTCAAAAGCCTCACATGTTTCCCTGCCAGCCAGGCATAGTTAAAGTTCAGTCCTCAGGCCTGAACAGATTCAAGAAATCAGAAAAAGAAAGACCAGTTGTGGCAAAATCTGTAAAAATGCAGGAAAAGTGTTTTTGCAGCATAAATTAGATTTTTGTAATTTTAAAATCTCGTCTCATGAGTTTGAGGTCCAATCAATAAATCAGAGTCAGAACTGTCAGTGGATCAGAACCGGTCACCTTCTCCAGTATCGTGTGCTGGTTTTAGGAGGTCTGACGTACCGTAGTCTTTGGGCAGCGGCGCCTGGGCTGACGGGTGGACCACGGCCCGGCGGGCCGGCTCCTGAACCGGACTCTGGTTCTCAGGAACCGGCTCAGCCGCTGGTTCAGTTGGAGGAGCCTCCTCTTCCTCGTCTTCCTCCTGCTCCTCTCGCTCCTCACGCTCTTCCTCCTGCTCCTCCTCGTTCTCCATCTCTGCCCTCTCCTCCTCTAGCTCATATTCCTCCTCTTCCTCGGTCAGCTCCTCGTCCTCCTCCCTCTGAACCCGGGCCTCCTCCTGCTCCTCGTGGTCCTGCCTCTCCTTCTCCTGCTCCTGCATGTTTTCCTCTTTAGTCATGATGAAGGGCGCTGCAGCCGGGCCTGGCGAAGACACAGAGCATGCACAGCATTCAGCCCCTTTACTCTGACACCCCAAATAAAACCCTTGTGTCTGATTTCTGGTTCTGGTCCCAGAGGTTTTTCAGAGAACAACCAGCATCATGTTAACTCTTAGCTTTGTGTTTTAACATATTTTATTTCACCTTTATCTGTGCAGGTGATTCACTGACAGCCAAGATCAACAAAAACAGCCACTTTGAACGGCTTGTTGCTGAAAATGTGCTTTATAAATAAAGTTACCTTACAAATGAAGAAATTCAACGCTTTAGCTTCTTTGCTAACTTTAGCGCACTTAGCTTCCTCTAAATTTTTTTCTGGTAATTTCTAAAGTGCTAATTTGTTTTTTAAACTGTCAGTTCAGTAAAGCTCAACATCTGTGTTTAAGTTTTCCAGTAGTTAGATGTTTAGAGGCTCTTATTTTGAAATGACTGTTTACAGACCGTTTCCTCACGTTTTCCAGCAGCGAAGCAAACAACGTTATTATTTACCCAGAATGCATTGCTGTAGACATCTCCTGATGTCCTAACTTCCTGAAGCACAAAGTGTACAGAAAGGGTCAAAGGTCATCTCCAAACCATCTGATACCCCAAAGGGCTGCCAATCTTCCCAGGAGTGGACGTCCCAGCAGAGGTCAGAGGTCAGAACAGGAAGCTCAGAGAAATGACCTCCATCTCTGTGTCTACAGGCCTCCACTAGCAGGTCAAAGGTTAAAGGTCAGGTTTGGAAGAACCTGAACAAATCAGATCAGAACAAACTCATAGTAACTGTTCAGTGGAGGAACGATGGTTTGTCCCATCAGAACCGGGTCGCTGGGTTTATCACCAGGCTGGTTCTGGTTCTGACCCAGATCAGGGCTGAGATCCAGTTTGTATTTGCAGAGACAGAAAAAGCAGCCGGCGCCGTCCATCATTATGTGCTGCCGGACTGGACCGGACCGGACCGGACTGCAGGCACGTGCAGAGGGGGGGT